CCCTCCCTCCCTCCCTCTCTTCTTTCCTTCCTTCCTTCCTTCCTTCCTTCCTTCCTTCCTTCCTTCCTTCCTTCCTTCCTTTTCCAAATTACTGAGTATTTGTTGCTTTTGTACTGGACATTCATTGTTCCCTGAAAATGTTGAGAAGGAAATGTCAAGGTAAGAATATCCAAACCAGTAGAGAATTTTTATGAATTTATTTGAACCAAACTGACAGCATATGGCAGTAAGAAAGACCTCAACTTTTCCAAAGAATAGCAGTTCCAAGTTTCTTTCATGCATTTGGGGAATTGAGGGATTACATGAGGGTGGGAGAGAGAAAGGTAGGGATTGGATTACAGATATCAACTGATGGTGGATGGTTGTTGCCAACAGGAATCCCCAATTTGGGTGTGGTGAAGAAAGAAACTTCATTCAGTGCAAAACATCAACTGTGATGCAGCAGGGTTGTGAAAACTGCATGGCCACAGAACAGTGTTGGACCAGGCAGCTCTGGGCCAGACCCCTCTCTGGTTAGACAGTTCTGTTGTGCCCTTGATGGTTGGTTCTCCTCTGCTTTGTGCCGATCTGCTTTGTCTGCTCCACTCTGTTCTGGCAAGACATTTTTGGCAGTTCAACTCTACATGGGAAAACATAGTCTTCCGAGGAGAAGACTCCCAAAGCTAGAGGGGAGCAGGTTTATATGGACAGGAGTCCACACCCCTGATTGATCCATTCTCATGCAAATGAGGACTCCAAATCCTCATAATCTGACTGGTCTAAAAGGTATTATCCTGATTGGCCAGAATAGAGCTGCTCTAATTGGCTGGAGCTGTACAGTTGATTGGATGGGGAAAGCCTGAATCCTAGTGTTTGAAATGGGATTCCAAGAACCCCTTTGTAAGGACTGGCTCCGATGGCAGAAACACAGTGCAGGCAGGCAGTTCAGCACAGAGCCTGGCAGTCTAAGGCCAGCTTCTCCGTGAAGTGCCATTTGTGTGAGAGGTCCCCAAGCCCCTCTGCAAAAAATGACTGCCAGGTTCTGTTTTTAAAAATTAGAGCCTGGTTAGCCTCTAGGAGCCCTTCTCAGTAGGTGTCTGTCTTCTCAGGGTTTACACAAGATAAGCCCTGCTCCCTTGGAGGTGGTTATGCCTCCGAGGGGTCTGAAGAAAAGGATTACTCTGGCATTCCAAAAGTGTGTTAACCTAGATGCACAGGAACAGTGGACAGGACTTGCTTAAGGCACAGATAAACCTTTGACAAGAAGACTTCTATGCCTGAGGCGTGACTGCCCACCATCACCTATCCAGTTAGGAATTTCTGATCAGATCGCTCTGGGAGGTTACTTTCTATCACCGAACTTGTCAGTGTTGCTACAGAACTCTTGATTCATCCCTAGGAATTTCATTTTTCCCGGGGAAGTCAAGCAAGGAAGAAAACCAAGTGGAATTCAATAGGCACACAAGTGGAAGTGTGCACCAGGCTTTTGTGCACAGAGGGCCCCTGATCTATTATGGCCGAGAAGGGGCCACTTGAACCCAGCCTGGGAAACCACAAGGAAGTCACTGGGAAGTGTGTGAAGGATGAAGCCAAGGTACAGAGGAAGGAGGGTCTGCAGTTAGTTGGTGAGCCTGCATTATAGGACACGGGTGCAAGAGTGAGGGCTGTGAGGTGAGAGAAGTTAGCAGGGCCTTGTGTGTCCAGCTAAAGCGTTTAGGTTTTATTCCAAGCATGTTGGAGGTCCCTGAGGAACATTGCATGGGAAAATGACCTCAGCTTTTCTTTAAGGCTCATCTGAACGGAAGAATACCTACAATCTTAGGATCTGGAATCAGATTGAGACGAGGGTGTTACTCATGGTTCAACCAGTTGGTGGTTGTGTGACCTTGGACAAGTTGCTTCACTTCTCTAAGCCCCAATTTTTTTCTTCTTCTCTAAGCTTAAAAAAAAAAAAGCTACCTTAAAAAAAAGTATTGTTTTTATTTTCTGAGAATTAAATGATCTATCATTTGCAACTTTCTTTTTTAAAATTTATCTTTACTGTTGAAAGTATTTAGATGTCCCTTTTCCCCAATTTCCTTTTACCCCCTTCACTCCACCCCTCCCCAGGCCTTCAACACTATTGTCTGTGTCCGTGAGTTATGCACATATACACACAAATTCTTTGGTTAATCTCTTAGCACAGTGGCTAATAGAAAGCCCTCCAAAACTGATAGCTACTCTGACGAGTACACATATGACCTCTGGCACTGTTATTACTGTAAAAGCAGAGTGGTGTGCAAGATGAGTCAGAGATATGTACCTGGATAAGCTGAAGGAAGGGAGACCAGTTCGGAGGTCTCTGGGGTAATTTAGGCAAGAATATTCCTCTATTTTTTGGTCCAGTACCCAGCTATCATCCATAAGGAAAAAAAAGTTGTGGAAATTGTGGAATAAGTGACAAGAAAGACTGAGCAAAATGTGCTGATTGATTGGCTCAGAGAAACAAGGGATAGAATAGAAGACAACCGCCAGGCTTCAAGCTTGGGTGACTGCAGAATTCTGATATTATTGACACCTGGGAACCCTTTTTCTTCCCATCCTTTGGCTTAGCTTTCTCGGGCTATTGCTCTTCTGACATCTTCAGATGGCCGGCCGCTTTTTCAATCTCATTTGCGCTGTGCACGTCTGCCGCTTCTTCTGTCTCCAGAATTCCTTGTCCCAACTACACGGCGGGCATGTCTGAATTTAGGACCTTCGCATCTTTGAAGTCTCAAACTCCACTTACACATTGGTGTTGAATACATCTCTTTAATGGCTTCCAAATATTATTTCATTTTCAGACCATGTGGATATCTCTGGAAAACACTTTAGCATCTCTGCCCCTGTTCAGGAACATTAATAGAGTCCTGTGCTTTAACAATTAATATTGTGTTAGGAACAAAATATTTCTCGGGCTTCTCTATATTGTAGAATTGTTACTTCCTGTTTTGAATATGGAATTCTGTTTTAGGTCCCAGGTGACAAACAACAGCAAACACACTAAAGTGACCCAGCCTTTGGCCTTGCCCTTCCTGCCAAATTGGAGCTTTTCTGACTCTCAGCACAGTGGGAGAAATGCAAGAGGGTGATGTGAGACCTTGTTCTAAGTCTGTGGTTGGCAAACTGCGGCTCACGGGCCACACCTGGCTCTTTGGCCCCTTGAGTGTGGCTCTTCCACAAAATACCACAGGCTGGGCGAGTCTATTTTGAAGAAGTGGCGTTAGAAGAAGTTTAAGTTTAAAAAATTTGACTCTCAAAAGAAATTTCAATCGTTGTACTGTTGATATTTGGCTCTGTTGACTGATGAGTTTACCGACCACTATTTTAACCAAATGATCTGTCCACCCTACAGGCCTGGTTTTAGTAGAAGGTAATGGTAGGTGGGCAGGGGGCCATGGTTCTCTCATTATCTTTCTTTCCTTTTTTTTTTTTTTGTTTCTTCTGAACAATTGCCTGGTCACTAAAAATGCCTTAAAGACAAAGATCAGGAATTTTGAGGTTGTCCTGGGAGCCAGATTCTCCGTCTGAAGGCTCTGCCAATGGTTAGAGAGATTGTTTTTAAGAGAGAACCTTTTAAATCAATGTCTTACACCAAAACACGTGACACATCATGGAGCGTGCTGTGCTCTCTACCAGTGAAACAGCAGCGTGCTGAGCCATTCGCCCAAGCTTACTGCCCAGGTGTCCTGGGGATCCTGCACACACGTGTGAGTCGCTGCCCTGAGCTAGGGGAGGAGAGCAAAACCCACTGCTGAGGGGATTGCATCCTGGTCTTGGCTGCATTAGGTCCTGAGTGCTTGCTGATGAAGTTGGTAGGATCTAGTGTATACCTACTCGGAAGTCAGGGTTTCCTGACTCCACAGCAGCACATGCATTCTACCCTTTCCCTCCACCGTCACCTACTGTGTGTGTGTGTGTGTGTGTGTGTGTGTGTGTGCGTGTGTGTGTGTGTGTGTGTGTGTGTGTGTGTGTGTGTGTTTCAGCAACAGTGCACAAGAAATAGGAAGCTCATTGTCTCTGTGGGAAAAAGTAGTTTTGGGTTCTCAATGTTTTAGTCAGCTGCTTTCATACTTTTCCTGACTAAATAGACCTGAGGCTATTAAAACAGGTTCATAGTGACCAAAAAAGGGACTTTCCCAATTGCCCTTTCCTCAGTAACAAATCCTAAACACTTGAATTTGCCTTTTGATGGCCCTGAGTGGCCACACAAGCCTCCCCATCTTTGGGGCGGGCAGGGCAGAGGGAGTCTCTGCCCTTAGTGTCTGTGCTGGGTTCCCAGTGAGAGGAGAGCACCTTGGCTGGCTGCTTGTCCAAGAAGGGAAAGGGGGGGAGGAGGGTGGCAGTTGTGGCAGCAGTTAGCCGAGTTTCACTCCCTGAAGAGGGCGCTGGTCTCTCTTGGGTGTGGGAGAAGGGAGAGGTCAAGAGGACTGGAATGCTCACTTAGATCACCGACCAAAAGAAACCAGGAAGTCAGTGGAATTATTACAGTCTGTTCAGAGCTCAGGATGTGAAAGGCAGGAGCTGGGCTGGCTGGTTATTCATTAGCAAAGAGGAAAGAGCACCGGGGTCAGGACTGGTCAAACTACCAAGACAAAGACGGACCTGAAGTAGGGAGAGAGCTCCTGGCAAAGGCGAGCTGTGGAGTTCACCTCTCTCCCCCCTTCACTTTGTCTTGGGACAAAAGGCAAAGGTGACTATTTCCTCTTCTCAGATGCTTGTCTACAAAGAGGCCTCTGGCTCTGATTTTCGTTGTGGGATTCCTAAGCGGACAAGAAAGGGCATCTCGCCACCGAGCAGCCGCCCAGCTGCCACTGGGCACTGCTGCTGCGGGATAGCAGCCACCAGCAGTCGGGCGGGTCCCCCCAGGAGGCCAGGTGTGCCCCGCAGGCTGGGGAGCGGGTGCTGATTGCAGGGCTGCCGGCAGGAAGACACAGCCACCCTGCAGAGACAAAGGGGAGAGGGAGGGAACTCTCCCCACCTCTCCCCGACGGGAGAGCAGCATGGGCAACGTCTGCCGGAGGCTCTGGGGGTACTTGAAGCCCTGTCTCCCCTGCTTCGCCCAGGAGACAGGCAAACAGGTGGCGCCGGAGCACACAGAGAGCCCCTGCCCCCCTGAGCCTCCCCGGCCGCAGGGCTCCTACTTCGTGGCCCTGTTCGATTACCAGGCACGGACCGCAGAGGACCTGAGCTTCCGTGCGGGCGACAAGCTCCAGGTCCTGGACGCTTCCCACGAGGGCTGGTGGCTCGCCAGGCACTTGGAGAAAAGGGGCGTCGACTTGGGCCAGCGGCTGGAGGGCTATATTCCTTCCAACTATGTGGCCGAGGACAGGAGCCTGCAGGCAGAGCCGTGAGTAGTGCAAACACACACTCTCATTCTCTGTTCTCTGAGGGTGGGGAGTGGACATGCCTGCCTATCTGCAACTCTCTCTTTTCCAAAGCGCTGCCTAGGAGCTATGAGGAAGTCCCTGGAACCTTCTCATGGAAACAAACCTACCTCTTGTACAGCTACAGGCTCTGCATCTTCGTCAACATAAAAAAAAATATGCCTTGAATGCCCTACTTTTTCCTTGGCTATAAAATAAGGCATGCCCCCCTTTAACAACAGAACCGCACGTCTTTTGCAGGTATATTGTAGACCTTCCTTCCTTAAGCCACATTTTCAAGGTCCTCCCCCCTGCAACCCCCCACCTCTCTCTCAACATTTAAGGCATTAACTCTAGTCCCAAGTTTAATTGTTCTTTTCATTCTGATAGACACAGGCAGGTCTAACTAACATAAAGCATCATTTAGAAGATGCTAGTTTTTCACCACATTTTCAGGACCAGACATTTTTCTTCGAGTCCTAGATATGAAGTGACACAATGCAAATTATGGTATCTTTTGGTATTTATTATGATTAAAAACCTGCCAGCTACACATATTCAGTAAGCTTTATTCAGAAAATAATGACAAGATTTGCCCAGAGGAGGAGGTTAAGATTTTATTCTGATAGTTGAATAAATGTTTTGAATTAGAGTGGACCCAAAGAGGAAAATTTCATGAATGATTTCACTAATCCATCCATTAGTCTCCATTCATAGGCTCAGTAGTGGCATGTGAATGGGAGAAGGGGAAAGTTATGGTAGTGGCGATTGAAGATAAAGTAGATAGAACATGGTCTTGACAATGGAAACTTGGGGTATGGTGTGTTAAGAAGCAAGTGGTGTCTCTTATTGGGCCTAACCTCATTTCTGCCCAGTTCCAGTAAAACCCAAGACTGGAATGTCTGTCAGGACTCATTTTATAGAATGGGTCCTTAGTGGAGAAGCCATTGGGATTCACTCATTTTCTCCTGTTTTTCTTCTTATGCGAGCTGCGCTATCCCTGCCTGGTCCAGGGAAGAAAATGGTAGAGAAGACCCATGAGAGTTGTTGTTGCTTTCCAAACTCAGATCCAAACTCAGATTCAAATGTGTTTGGCAATTTTTGAAATTCTTTGCAACACTAAGAGCCTATAAATGTTGAGGAGGGTTTTCATTTTAGGCCTAAATAGAGTTGACTTGAAATAATGACTTTTGCCCTGGCTGGTGTTGCTCAGTGGTTGGAACATCATCCCATGTACCAAGAGGTGGCAGGCTGGATTCCAGGTCAGAGCACATACCAGATTGCTGTTCAGTCCCTAGTTGGGCACATGCAGGAGGCAACCGATCTATATTTCTCTCTCTTCCTTCCTCTCTGAAGCCAATTGAAAAAATTCTACAATTTTGAAGAGTAGAATTGATCAGTTCTCAAATGAGAAAATCACCTACGTGAATGTTTACTTTCTATGATAATCTATAGGGGATATTATTTATTGAGCGCTTACTTATGTGCATTTATATTTTACTACTATGATTTCTGTGGTCTTATGTATGTTTTATCCTTATTGTAAGATAGGCCATTAGAATAAACACTATACTATGAATAGTAGTGCCTCGAACCCATAATGTACTATAATACATTTAAACCTGTTCAATTCATTTCACTGCGTAGGGCCTCTGTTTTCCCATCTGTAAGGTCTCTGGAGTCGCCCAGACTTCCAGATTACCTGATGTTTTATGTGTAGTGGTTCAGCTACATTCATACTTGACATACTTGAAGAAAGCCTGTGGAAGACAAGCAATTAAAAAATGACCATGTTCCAAGGTTCAAGCACAGTGTCTTTTCTTATTTAGACTTTCTTTAATAAACTGAACAAAAACCAACTAAAACGTGGCTATATTTCGATTCTCGGGGACTCTCTGTAGCCAAGAACACTCTTTCCCTCTGCACATAACTCCTGATCCCTACTCCTGGAATTGGTTCTCAGCAGCATTCCCACGTGTCATTACTGTCCTAGGTCTTCCCTTCCCTTCGAATCTTCCCGTCCACCGGAATACAAACGTGGTGCCCGCAAGATGCTGCAGCTGTGCCTCCTGGCCAGAATGGGCCACTGGTTTCCTTCCAAGCGCACACCGTGGCCTGTGCACCCCGGTCACTAATGAGGTTCTTGCCACCCCATGGCTAAACTGCTTTGAGACTTTTAGTGCAGGTAGCTGTGGCCTCTAGAATACTACTTCATTTCAAGCAAAAGTGACTTTATCTTAACAGTCTTCTGAGTGAGGGTGCCCAAGTGGCCCACACAGCGACTTCATACCTGGAAATGGTACAAAAATGACTTCCTTTAATGTCCCTCTTCACTGAGTTTTTCAAACATTTTCTTCATTTGCGTTTCTTATGAATACCATTTTTGTTTAAATGAATTTTTTTTTAAATGTTTGTTTGTCTCTATAGACACATATATCCTGGTGTTAATTTTTGATGAATAAAAGTCAAGCATCTCGTCAAACTGATGTTGTCAGAGTAGATGCAATGTTCTATATGATAAAGCAGGACTAATTTTTGTTAAGCACTATTATGTCCTGTTCAGTTCTTGATGCTCCTAAGGAAAAAAAACAAAACAAAGAAACACAACCACAAGATTTTGCCTCTATTAAGTCTGTCCGGTTAACTCAGAAAATCCCCATTTGGGTTTTCTGATTGCTAGTACCACAGTGAGAATCTATATGGTAAATAAAAGTCAGAACAGTCTTTGGGTTTTTTTTGTGAATCGCAACTAGGTTCAAACACTAGTAGTATAGTTTTAATTGAAATAAAATGCTGGCTCCCCTTTATGAGTCTGGCTTTGTCGTGACTTAGCTGTGTGACTTTACCCCTCTGCCTCAGTCTCTTATCTGTAAAATAGGAATAAAAAAGATCACCTTTTCCCTAGGGTCATTATGTGACATAAATGAGATTATTTGCAAGGAAAGTGTGTGCCATAGAGACACTGACACATAGTGAGGGCTTCATCATGTTATTTATGATTTAGTTGGGCAGCTCCTCCTGCCTTGTCTACATGGACCCTATGCCCCCACACTAACCTCAGCTCACATGCTGAGCATCTTCTAGTGTTTCTCCCACCCTTTCCCTCGCCTGTGATCTTGGGCTTCGCATGGGCTGGCTATTCTCAGGCCTGCAAATCTCTCCCTGCTCTTTTTTTTCTGGCCAGCTCTCCTGTATCCTTTAGGTCTCACATGGTTTGTTCCTCACTCCCTACAGCCTTTCCTGACATTCTGGACCATTTTAAGTGCTCCAGCTAAGAACCGTTAACATTCTTTGTCATTATTGCTTATTTGTGTTCTGCATGACTATAGGCTCAGATGTGGTAGGTGGGAAGGGCGGCCATTCATTGCCTTGGATCCCCGAGTTTAGTGTGTTGCCTATGCCTAATCAGTACTCATCAATGTTGGTTGGGTAAGTGAATAATGAAATGAGTGAAGGCTTATCTACAAATCTCAGGTATTTTAAAGAATAGCTGACAGAGCCATCTCTTTTCTTCAACTGTTCCTCCCTGAGTTGCTTTTGACTGAGTTTCCTCATTTAAAGGCATATGCTTTTTGCATTCTTTTCTCAGTGAATTGTTCCTGCCTTAACTCTTGGTTAGACTCATAGCCATAATAGTATCATTTCCAGGCTCCCAGAAGTTAGTGGCTCTACTCCACTCCTGGAGAAAATATTTGGGGTCACAGACACATTTGAATATTCTTTGTACTGTAGAATGAACACGGAGCCAGGAATAGATTGTGAATCTCACTGAAGTGGTATCTAACCATATTAGACATATTAAACTATACTTGTGGTTATATTTAGAGGAAAGAAAATACTGGTGTGAGATTTTAAATGGACAGAAAATGCAAACCCAATTTACAAAATTAATATTATGGGTCAGACTTGTAAATTCAGTTTTTGTATTCAACATACATAATTTCAAATTATTACACATATGAGATAATTTTCAGGGTGCATTTGTTGAAAGTTTGACTATTTTACTGCATACTGAATGAATAGATTTTCAATTGTACAGTCTAAAACATTACCCAACAAAATAACTGCATGTTCTTTTTACTGGTTTTCTTACTAATTAGCTGATGATTTTTTTGTAGCATGCTCTGACTCCCATTTTTAATGGGCATTCTTAACTCTGGAAGGATTGGGCTAGTTTTTCTGGGTAAGGTAGTTATGCAGATTAATAGCAGCTTGAAGACCTGCTTATAGCTTTTCCCCTGAATCCTGCAACTTTAGTATTAGTTTATGTGGGTATTTCTCTGAAGATTAATGTAATAGAAGAATTTTGCTAAAACGCATAGATGCAAATGTAGAACACGTGCTCTATATTTCTCACCTTCTTGCTTATTTGGCTCATTTTGAATGCTATAATAAACTATCTCTTGCGTAAGATCTTTTTGTCATGATGCCATTTTTTCTACAAAGTTTTTAAAGCTAGATTTTCTTATATTTAAAATGGAATTAACTTAGTTTTAGAATCTTTAATATTTTTATTTCTTATTTTTATTCATGTGGCATATTTTATACTGCATTTAAATTCAGAGTAGGTTTTTCAGTTAGAGGTTTTAAAAATCAATACTGTTCCTTTTTAAGGGTAAAAAGAGAATGCAATTCAAGAAGCACTATTACTGCCCCGCCAGTGTGGCTCAGTGGCTGAGCATGGAGCCATGAACCAGAAGATCATGGTTCTATTCCAGATCAGGTCACATGTCTGGATTGGGGACTCGATACCCAGGCGGAGGCATGCAGGAAGCAGCCAATCAATGATTCTATTTCATTATTGATGTTTCTAATCTCTCGGTCTTCCTTCCTTTTTCTGAAATCAATAAAAACATATTTTTTGAAAAAGTACTATTATTATTAAGAATGTTTGCAATTTTAGAAATGTTATTAGTAAGAACTTTTGAACTTTATATTAGATATCTAATATTTCCATTAGTGCAAATGTTTCCTATCACATTGT